GTCAGGGGGCTCGTGCAGAGCCCCCCATGCAGCGTGGGACAGTGGGGGGCAGTGGGGATCACCCCTGCCACCCCCCACCGGACAGCACCCAGTGAGCTGGGGATTTTTTTTTCAAAGTGCCAGGAGCTGGGGCAGGCAGCCATGGTGGGGGCTGGGATATCGGGTGGGGGATGGACCTGGGTGATTCAGAGATTCAGCAGCAGCTGAATCAATTTGGGACAGTGATTCGAATCACCAAGCGAATATTAGCCGCTTCGCATAGTCTACTATTTAGTACAAAATCTATTTCTTCTTTTCTTCTTATACTAGTATCTCTATTTTGTTAATTTAATACTTCATACACTCCTACTCTTCCAATGAACTACTGACTACTATTGGAGAATACTGAAGAATTCTTTTTTGCCACTGAGACCCTGTGCTATGAATGTCTTGTTTTTACATACCGTATTTACTCGAATCCAAGACAAGAATGAGGTTTTTTCCTCATTCATCCTTGTTTTAGATTTGAATACAAGGACCTAGAGTCAGAGTAGGAGGATAGGGAAATAGGTGGTAGAGGAAACAACCTGTTTGCCCAAGTTGTTGGTTTTGGTTTCCAACTGAATTGCTTTAAACACTGCAATTGATCCTGTCATTTCTGCTTTTAGCTAGCTACCATCCAAGGTGGGTGCTATATTCTCATCTTATTTCACTTGAATACAAGGACCCAGAGTCAGAGTAGCATTAAGCTCTTTCTTTTTTTCTTTCTTTTTTCTGAGTTATTGCTCAAATATGTGTAAACATTGGTACCCACCTGACACACATACTCCCCCACAGCTCCTGTTTCTGGGACCCAGAGTTGATAGCACTAGGAGACTTTGTTTGCATTAAGACTACTGCAGTATACACAACTTCATTTCATTCTGTTATTTAATATTAATAAGCAAATGAATAATTGCTAATAGCCAACTCTAATTTCTTGAGCTTGAAAACTTTTTTCTGTAGCTTAGGAGACAGCAGGAAAAAATATAAAGGACAAGTTGATTTATTCTTTCGCAATCCCTTAACTTCCCAAAGTTCCCTTCCTAGTCACGTACAATAAAGTTTTTTTAGAAGTGTTTATTGCAGTTCACAGCAAATTAGTACCAAGTTAAACTAATTTTGTTCTTTTTTTTCTACGCCTTCCTCTTTGACTAAAATCTAACAGCTTTTTTATGTTGTTTCATTTAACAGCTCTGAAGTAAGTCAGGGTTGCGAAACTCATTCTGAAATGGTTAGCCAAACTTGCAAGAATTCCTCAGGCCAAATTACCTCCATTTTGGGTTATGTCCAGGTGCAAAGGGAGAATGTCAGGAAAATTTTTTGGGTATAGTTTAATTTAAACAGATATAAACCCATGAAGACACTCATGTTATTTTTGGTTCAGCTTATATTGCCTGGGAAAGAGCTTTACAAACAAATCATGTCACTTGGAACAGGAATACGCAGATGGGGGAGGACAATTCTGCCAGTACAAACAGGAAAAAATTATCAGGATAGCTGGTAAAATTCTGCCATGAAGAGAAAGTCTGAAACCTCTTTCTCCTCTATGTAGGCCTCCAACCTATAATTTTTCATTTGTATCTTGTTCTCAAACTGGGATAGGGAGCAGGAAAAGCTTTTTTAGCAGATCTGGCCCTAAAAATCAGCCGTCAGATCCACTTGCATAAATCCATATTTTTACAGAGCCCTCCTTAAGTTAGTATTGGTTGTCCAGAGTGCACTGGTTCAAGGTGACAGAACTAATTTTATAATCAGATTAAGTTCAGAGGCTTAGTATGAGGCCTTAGGCCTTAAAGTAAGTGAATTTATCCTATGTAAGTGATTGTCAAAATTTCTCCATTTGCTAAGAACTGTTATGTATGTTGTTTTTCACCTATTAGAATTGTAGCATAACCATTTTATTGCAGAAGTTACGGGCTCATCTAAGCCACAAAATTATGAACATCATTAACAGTACAACAAGGCAGCACAAACTGTTCCTATTGTAATGGGGGCTGCTATTTAAATGTCAGATTTGAACAAGATGCCAAACATGATGCCATAAAGCCACCAAATTTAAAAGACAACATCAGCAATCTCTGTGGGTACTGCCTTTGCATTAACGTAGACCCCTTTTTAAAGGAACAAAACCTCTTAGAAATAACATTAACTAATCATCATTAATGTTATATGTAAAATTAGCAAGGAAAAATTATATTATAAAAGATAATCAGTACCACACTTAGAAGTTGAAAGGAGCTGACTGCCATGGCCTGATGGTCATTGACACCTTTCCTTTCCAGGAGCTGTGTTTTCATACTTATTGTTAGGTATGGCTTTGTACTTGTACTACCTCAGTCAAATGGTAGCTGAGCTTGTGCTTTGCTTTCCAGTAAAGACTGACTCTCTTGTTCAGGGACAGTGTGCTGTAACTTTTATTCCAGAAACCTCATCATAGAACAAAATGGTGCGGTCCTTGTCCTAATCACAGCTTAATTTCATTTTCACTCTATACAGAGACATGTTTCAGAGGCTTTAAGGCCAGGTGTCAAACATCTAGCTATTCCACATCCAGCCACTCCACTCGCCCAGCCACATAGGTCTGTGCAGCCAGTTTGGCACGTGGGCTGCACCTAGCACCATGGGTGCTGCATGCAACACAGATTGTCAGTCCAGAGCACACACTGCATGCAATGCCCCTACCAGACCTACCCAGAGTGCTGGTTCCTGGGCCAGTCTGGACCACACTGCTCTGGAGCTAGCGTGCAAGGCCAGTCTGACAGGATACCACATGCAGCACATCTGATCCAGCCCCATGCATCCTGTGCAGTACACAGGCCCTGCTCTGGGGCTCACTGTACCCACAGTGCATGGGGGTGGCTCAATGCATGGGGGTGCACACTGCAGGCAGCACCCTGTCAAACTGGCCCAGTGCACTGGCTCTTGTGCAGCATTCCAATCCAGCCTGCAGACCAGCCCAGTGGCCCTCATCCAGCCCGTGTGCCCAGATGAGTTTGCTACCCCTGCTCTAAAGAATATGTTGTAGTTAGTTGTATGTTGTAATTGGGATGTATAATTGCAATCAAGTTCTAGCCTTATATTAAGGACAAATGTAGAGGACTCCATTAAACATAGAATATAGTGAATATAGAACTAGTAATGTTACTTCTCTTCTGGTAAGTCCAAGAGAAGGGAAACTGAACAGTTTTCCTGTTGCATATTATATTCATCACTACTAAGGGTAGCACAGCATAGTATTTTAAATTCAGCTGTTCTCTGGTCCATTAGTGAATTAAATGATTTTTCCCCCTCTTCTATGCAGAATTTCAAGGTTGAAGTCAATAATTTCTTTCAGCTCAGGTTGCCTTGCTTCTGTTTTTAAGTATCTGTACTTGCTAAAGATCACCTGTGTTTCTTCACGCCATAATTTTTAAATGACAGTTTTAAAAAAATCATAGTCAAATATCTTTGTAGTAGTTCTCACTGCCTCTGTAATTGGTAGGCTGTTCTGCTCTTTTACCTGCTGAAAATTAATTCAAATTCTCTTCTGTTTTTTTAAGGAACTTATGGACTTTTTACGAACTCATTCCCACAGTTCTGTTTACGCCACATCTATGTGTCCCCCCATTGCAGAGCAAATCGTTAGGGCCATGAAGTGTGTCATGGGACTAGATGGAACAACAAAAGGTAAGACATCTTTGTGACTTCATAGACTGGGCTCCTAGTCTTAGCATATGCTAAGTGGAAAGGTCAGAAATTTTTCCAACAACAAATGACCAAGGCAGTAAAGAAATAAGGGAACTGCTACAGTACTAAGGCAATCAGTTGCTTTGTACTTGTCTCGTGCTTGCATACTTCAGAGTGTTTTTAACAAAACTGCACACACATTAATTAATCAATGATTTCCCTGTCATCACAGTGGCAGAGCATTAGCAGCACCCTCATCTCTCCTGCTTTTATCTTATGGCATGTGGTAGGGTATGCTTGATCTTTCTGATTTTGTCTTGTAGTTGTATGCAAGGGTTTGAAGTTACAATTTTGGGGGCCTTTGGGTGAGGGGTTACCTGTGATTACAGCAGATGGCTATGGAAGCTTCTTCGAGTCCTATATTCTTCTTACTTGTCCACATTTTTGCCCAATGATCTGAGAGTACATTATAGGCCATTATCAAGCTAAGCTTCAGAAAACTCCTGGAAGGGCTGGTGAGTACTGTTATGCTGCCTCTATTGCTGGGCAAACAGAAACACTGAGTGACCAGATGACTTGGTGGAGGTCACAAAGTGAGACAGTTACAGAGATGGAGATACCCCTTTGGAGCTCTTGCCTTGAGTTCATTCACTAAGTCCTGGCCCACCTTACTTCCAAAAAACATAAAGGAAAACTAGACTAATGAAAATGGATCATGTGGACTTTACAGCATGAGTTCAGAATTAGAACTGAGATCCTTTCATTCATCATATTGATACTGCCATTAAAATACTACTTAGAGGTACTCAACTGAGGAGCTTCCTCTCAGCTGTGATGGTTCCAGATCCACTTCTTGATGAATGCAAATCTTCCAAATCTCAAACAGTTGAAATCATGCTAGAGGCATTCTGTTAAGGTGTCACAGGATAAACAGTGGTATTAACAAAATGATGGCTTCATTCACTATATAACAGGGATGTGATGTCTCGGATTTAATTTGTTTTGATACAGTATTATGAGGAGACTGAAGCAAGACTTAGTGGTGTTATTTAGGGAAGAAGAGTAGTATTTATATTGTTTCCCTGATAGCTGATCTAATGATTGCCTCTGTACAATGTACACTGTGCGTGCATCTATATGTGCCCCCGACTGCCTGTTGCTACGGCAACATAGCATCTCATGTAGACGTGTCCTGAATGTGGTACACTGTAGGATAAATGTGTAGTGGGTATTTCTGTTAGCATTTCAATCTGTTACTGAAATATATTCAAGGTATGAGATTTAAATATATATTAACCCAGGAATAATAGCTGATGTACCAACCCTTTTTATTTTTAAGGGTGTTTAGGATGTGAGTTTTGCATAGTGTTATTTTATGTATAGCACATATGTGAAGAGCTAGTTTCTAAGTTAAACTGCGTTTCCTTTTCCCATCAGCACAAAGGAAGTAGAAACATTTTGCTGTAATACAGATCCCTGCTGGGTCTCACTGGAAATCAGAAATTAACTCTTATGCTTTGCTTCTAATTTCAAATTCAAACTGCCCTGATACATTACACGAAACGTAAGGATTTTTTAGGGTGGTTTCTTTTATGGGACTGTATAGATGGGATAAAGTTAGACCAGCTTTCAAATGCAAGACCTGATGAGAAATGTCTTGCATTCAAAAGCTTGTCTAACTCTATCCCAACTATGCAGTTGCTCCAATAAAAGAAATCACCCAAAGAAATCCTTGTCTCTGCATAATTCCTGGGCCATCATGGCTATAACATCACTCTTACGCTACTGATACATTATAGAATTCTACAGATCAGTTTTATAAAAAGGCTTACCAACAGAGGGCAATATTGTATTAAACCTGTTCAAGAGGTATTTATTTATTTTTGGCTTTGAGAAATGAAGTATATCTATAGTGCATTTCTAAACTCAGCTTTTCAAAGCAGCTTGCAAATGACCTGTAGCTGGCCTGATTCTTCATACAATGCAGAGCAATCTGATAAGAGAAAAGCTCTAAAATTGTGCACACCTGGCTAGGTTTCAGATTCAGTTTCTAAAAAAAATTCTTTTGGCAGCACTGTTGTTTGGTGACACAGAGATGATGTTTTTATATAATTCAAGTGCTGCATTTAATTCTGTTGAAAATGCTATGTAAGACTCAAGGAGGTGTTCAACCAGTATTTTCCTAAAGGGAGGGGAAACTCCAGAATTTCTACAGAAGCTGCTAATAAACGTATTAAGTATTTTGAACAGTAAAGATGAGATGTCTTGGGACAAGATCCATATTAACTAGGAACTAGTAAGTGGAGAACGGAAGCGAAATACCTAGACGGTGAATGAGTAATCTCATCTTGTTCTTTCAGTTGCGTTCATCCCAAAAACCTAGAAGTGTAAATTTACAGAAATCCAGGAGAGTCAGGCCTCTGTGGTAATTTAATTGCCCCCTTACCAGTTACCATCATTTTTATGTTTTGATTTCTAGTGTACTTCTCAGTCTCGTTTTATATTTCCTAACCCATAAGTTTTTCCACCCTTCCTTCTACTTGTTCTTTATTCCCCGTTGATCTGCTAAACAGCTGACCTGGAATAAAGCAGGGGAGATGTGATTATACGCTGAATGCAATCAACGCCCAGAAATGTAGTCACACGGTATTTACCCTGTTGTGATTCAGACCAGTTGATTTGCCATTGTTTTCTCTTCATTAGCAAGAGTATGCTTGGTTGAAAAAGAAAACAAGGTTTAAACTTCCAAGCCATGATTAGTTTATTGGATTCATGGCTGGAGGACATGAATAGATGCTTGTGAACACCAATGGAGCTGCATAATTATAGAGGACACAGGAAGTGCTTCCTGTAGTCAAGACAGCCAACACTGTCCATTCTTTGCCCCTGCATTCTGTTCCTTATACCTTAACTATCAAATTTTAACCCGTCAGTCTGAAATTTTCCATAAAAGGTATATGCCTCAGGCATTTTTTTTAATAATAAAAAAGGTTTGGTCATTTCCCAGAAGGATAGAGAAACACATGTTTTGACTGTCTTACAAAATTGTCACAGCTGTTTCATTGAGAAGCTGTAGCATCTCTACACTTGGGAATAAGGATTTGAAGCTTGACAGGGCAGTGGGGTTGACAGGGCTGTCCTTATTGCTATGGGCATGAAAATACACCCAAGCCTGGCCAAGTTGTAAGCCTCTGCAAAAATCTTCATTCACACATGCTCAGTAGAGATTTGTTCACTTGAACTGAAGTGAGCATGCCCATCCCCTCAGAGCACCTCCACATGACTAAACTGTGCATCCTATCCCACATAATGACTGAGTCTGCTGCAGCAGGGAGGGAGGTGAAGAGGCAATGCAAGGGCAGAGCAATTACTTCTCATAGGCTAGGAACACACATTACACATAAATCGGTTTAAGTGATCAGAAACTGGTTTAAACCTATAACAGAACAAATGTTCAGTGCACATAAACCAGTTTGAAAATGTCTGAAACCAGTTTGAGATAAACCTGGTTGAATGTAGTATCAGACTTAACTGATTTGGCTCAAATGGGTTTATGCAATGTCTTTCCCAGACCCCTTGCTGGTTTAACTAGTTAAACCAAACTCCCTCAGCATCCCAGGATGCTCTCTGGGCTTGGCAGGGCTCTCTGCTCCACAGCAGAACTGGCCCCTCCCCTCTTCTCCCTGGCTGGAGCTCCAGCAGAGACTACAGGTACAGCAGGATCTGCCTGGCTTCCTCTTGCTCTACCCCCCACCTCGCTGCTCACTGCTTAAGCAGGAATCCCCACCTTCCTCCCTTCCTTCCATCTCCCACAGCACAAACCCAAGCTCCATGGACCCTAGGCATGTGGTATGCTAGCTAATGCTGAGAGGTGTCTGTCTCTCCAATTTCACTGGGACAGGCAGACAGAACAGTGACCACTTAGGACTTTTTGGAGCTAATCAACAGGTCAGCTAGTAAGTGGTTTAAGAAGAGTTTGAACTAATGGAGAGAGGCTGTTGTTTTGCCAGTGAGGTGATAAACACTGTTATCATCCCCCTGCTGGCTTGCTTGCCTGGCAGTTTGCTGCAGACAGTATAAAGAACCTGGGAGGGAGATTGAAAAGCTCTGTATCATCAACAGAGGCATGCACCACATGCCCCACTCCTCCCCCCTTGCCTCAAAATGCTAGCCCAGGGCTAGGGCTGGCAACACTCCCACCCCTTGAGCAGCCAGCGGGGAAAAGCCTGGGATAGTGCATGCAGACCTCCCTAATCAGAGGGCCTGCCAGGGCCTGACCACGTCCCCCCTCAGCTCACTACTGTGAAAGGGAAGGGAGGGCTGCTCTAGCACCTCGCAGCTTCTAGCCTGAGCCACTGCAGACATGTGCCTGAATTACCTCAGTCCAGAGAGAATGTCTGTCTGGTTACAAACTGGTTCAGCCTAGCCAGGTTAGACTACCTGCAAAGCTTGAATCAATTCAGGCTCGCTCAAGCTTTTTTGAATGTCTGTCCCTAGCCATAATTACTAACAGCCATTGTGGCACCAGGCATCAGAACTGATGGTCTCTCCTGTGCTCTCAGTGCTCCCCCTCCTGGCAAGGTACTGACATTCAAAAAGTTCAAGGCAGAATCAATCTACGTTATGTGGTTTTCTCTAAGCATCATAGTTTAGATCAATAGTGAACAGAACACACATTCATCCTTTGGTGGGGGTGGCAAAGCTTATACTGCATTTTGCCATTTTTAAAACAGTCTGTGTGCCAAACTTCTGTTCTGTTACAGGTAGAGACCAGTTTCCAATCACTTGTACCAGTAAAAGTATAATGCCTGTACCTGTTAGGCAGTAAGAAAGAACAGAAAGAACCAGCCTGATCAGGATGCAAAGGCTTAAGTTTGTTGTGCCCAGGGGGAGAAACAAGGAAGAAGATGAGACAAAGTGAGGGAGACAAGTGGAAGCAGGTAGCAGGAGAAATTGGGAACTAGAATTGGGGCAGAGTAGGTAGGGACAAAATAAATTTA